TTTTTTTTTAACTATACCCAAATAGACTGACCCAGACTCAAAAGAGCCACACAAGCCCTGGATGAGTAATTTTTTTATAGTTCCCTAAAAGGTTGGAAGATTTGTCAAAATAAAACAAGGTATAAAAGTGAAATATGAAATTTACACATGTATATGTGAGTGTCAGATCTGCCATCACACCACCTCAGCCCTGCTTTGCATTGATGGCGGCCTGCATATGTCAGGAATCAGAAGTGCCGACCAGAAACAGCGGTTGTGTGATCCAAGGACATCAGCATGGTAACGGAAAGCAAACGCCCACCAAAGAGGCACCAAAGATAGACCTGTTACCAGAACAACTAATTTGAACTTCATTGGACAATAGCCAGATGACCAAGGGGGAAGGCCAGGGAGAAGGGAAAAATAGCGGCTTTGCGTGGGAATTTTCAGATTTGGCTTTTCCTATACTGTAACCACTTGGCTTAAGTAAAAGTATACCTTTCGCAACAAATGGAAGCAAGGGTCTTTCTTTCATAAATGTCCAAACTGAGACAGGCCTGACAACAAGTGCTTGCTTTTTGACTCCACCCTATATTATATTACATTTTATTCCTATTATTATATTACTCTGTTAAATACTACTATTATAACCACCACTATATTCTATTATATTGCTATTCAATAATATTATTATATTACTCTCTTATAATACTACTAGCAATACTTTTTTCTTATATTACTTTCTGTCTTTAATTCCTCTCTGGAATTTCTTCTGCTTTTTCTTTCCCTGTTAATAGCTAACATTTTTCCACATTGTGCTTTGTTGTGCCTCTACACTTCTTTTTCCTTTGGACCATCCACTCCTTTTGAAAGAAAAAACACCTCCTTTTATTTGGCACTGTTCTGTGTTTTCTTTGGTTGCAGAACTTCCAAGACACATGCCTCCTCCATTTTCTTCCCCCATCTGTTTCAAAGTTGTAGCTTTATTGGCAACACTTGTATTCTGATGCTGGGCGGGGGGACTCATATGGGAGGGAGGCCAGATGGGTGCCTGCAATTTTTATAAGCAGCCTGCTCTTCCACAGAAGAGGAAGAGGGATCATGGAAAGGGGAACTAATGTAGTCATCAGAAGAACACCAATAGAGCCAGCTTGGTCTAGTGGTTAAGGCACCAGGCTATAAAGCAGGAGACCATGAGTTCAAGTCTTGGCTTAGCCATGAAAGCTGGTTGGGTAACTTTGGGCCAGTCACACACTCTCAGCCCAACCCACCTCACAGGGTTATTGTGAGGAAAATAGGAAGAGGCAGGTGTGTTGGGTATGTTTACCACCTTAAAGGTGAGATATTTGTAAACAAACATTCCTATTGTCAGGGTTCCAAATAGCATCCAAAAGTAAATCAAAGTCCAAGGCAAAGTATTGCTC